TGTGTGTGTGTGTGTATATTTGATAGAAAGCCAGGGGAACATTATGAGCTCAGAGCAATAAACTGCAAACAGGCTCACAGAGAATACAATGCGACTTTTTTCTTTATATAAAACAAACAAAAACAAAAACAGTTTCTGCTGCCTCAAAATAAAATATTGTATTTCACACTTTCATTTAAAAATGTTCAATGATGTCGAGTAACATTTAAAAATGGTTAAAAATATACAAAATATATAAAAAATATATTAAAACAACCATAAAAGCAATATTAAAGATAAAAGATATAAAACAATTTAAGTGAAACAACAGAGGTGGAATAATAATCAATCATTGATTTTATATTCACAGAGGAGTTCAGGAGTATTGATCCTAATGGTGGTAATTTGTTTGTCTTAATATTTTATTTAATTATTCATCCTCACAGTCTGAACGTCCAATTTTACCTCCAAATAAAAAGCTTTAGAGCGCCATCAGAGCGCCATCTAGTGGCGGCAGTGGTGCTGACAAGATTTTATTTATATCATTAAAAAACGTAGATTTTTGTATCTAATTGTGCTGAAGAATCCAGAAAATAAATAAATACATCGAATTAAAATGCATAATTTCAACGACAAGACTAGCATGTTTTGTTTAGCTAGCTAACGTTCCCTCGGATATAAAGTGGATCCAGTTTTGAAATGTGCATCAGTTGAAGCTCTTTTTGTCATGTTGTGTTTATTCTGTGTATGTGGGACAGTGCAGGTAACACAGCCTGTAGAAGGGTTTATTTACAGAGCGAGGATCACTGCAGACTCTAAGACCAGCTGTAAACAACCTTTATGTCGGTTATCGGTTATTGGAGCTTTAATTTGACATAAACTGAGATGATGGAGAGTCAACTGTGTTCAACTAACTTTGCTGTGCTTCATGTCGGAGTTTTAATGTCACCCTCAGATCCAAATGAGAGAAAAGACAAACAGAAAACAGGTCCAGTCAGACGGTGTGATATTTGTTTTCACACCTACTGATTCCAACATGAACACGGAGCTCCGTTTGCACAGCGAGCACCAACACACACACACACAC